CTGTGAACAATTCTGTATTTATAATGTCATCTTATCACGCTCCCCTTGAAGGCAGCAGCGAGTGCACTTATGCCTTCCTTTGTTAGGGTGAGTTGGCAATTTCCTGTGAGATGGAGCAACTGCAGGCAGCGCTTTTCTTTGATAATGTCCCTGACACCTGGACCAAACTGCTGTTTCCATCACTTTCCTGGCTGGAACAGGAGGAAAGAAACATGTCATAAGCCTCCTGCCACCCAGAGTCACTCACTGTGCATTTAACAGCACTTTCCTCACTATACTTCACAGGATGTAGAGGTCAGAGCCAGAGGGGAGGGTGGGGACTTGTGTGCAAAGTCTTCTTGATGAGCTGCATCAAAAATAGAAACATCCAATGCAGCCACGCGTTTCCTTCTACATTCCATCATTCTTATTATATTATCAGAAACATTTATCCAAGCGTCATCACRCACTGGATCTAATAATGTAGTTTTATACAGTGTTGCACCATGTAAAGCTGGTTATTAAGCAGCAAGCCTGAAAGAGTGTTTTATTACAGAGGCCTGACAGATTGATTCTAAATTATAATTAATCAGTTGATTTTGACCCACCGATTGTGATTGTGCCCCGCGAGTTTCATTTATTCAGCTTTTCTTCTGGCTCTGCTACAATCACCGTAGACCTGCAGGACTCTCAAGCAAATTAACAGTCTTCACGCTACCCTGCAGCCATAATGAAAATATCAGTCAATCAAAACCCATATTATGTTGTGAAATCCTACCACATATCCCCAGACCTGCATACAAATAGGGGGCTGTTTCAGAGTTACGACTGGCGGCGTGTCAGTGAAACGACGTTGCCGAGTCCCTCGGAAAGGCAGGACGATGAGATTATCCCCTGTGCTGCGTGTTGACGTGAAATAAAGCAGATTATCTGGATTTGTTTGGGAGGAGGGGATGGAGATTGGGGATGCATGGGAGGGATCCCCCCCCCCCCACACACACACACACACACACACACACACACACACACATACACACGCATACATCTGCAACCTGTCTGCAGGTATGATCGTCTGCATGCTACTTCAGGGGCACTTCAGCACCCTCCCTACCCCACCCCCCAGACCCTCCTCACAGGTACCCCGCAGCCCACCGCCGAGCGCTACTCATTTACTGCTACACTGGTTTTCATAATTAGCGCCGCAAGGCCTCATTAAATCTGCTCTAATGAATAAATATTGTATTTCATAGCCTGATTACCAGATCAGCTCAATGCTTGAGCGTTGTAAACAATTACTTTCCCAAATATTCATCACCCCAAAGTGGATGATCATTGATATTTAATACAGGACTAATATTTTCAAGTGCATCTTTATTAGACTAATAATAGTTTTTCAAATGCTCCTTTTGGACAGAAAAGGGTAAGAAAAAGGGAAAATATGTTTTATTTGAATTTGTATTTATGCCTATGTTGTCTGAAACATAATCTTATTAGTAAGACTCTAAATTGAATCATTAAAAAGAGAGACTTTTTAAAGTGAGATAATTATTTTCACACATAGGCACATTTTTCTATTCTGTTACAAAAGTCTTTGTCAAGGACAGATTTAAAACCTGAGGCAAAAACGTAACTTTTTCCAAAATAAGTATTTTCAATGAGACATTGAACACCACCAGCAGTCTGTGCGGCTTGATAAAACGATTAGATCCCTTTAAAATGTCAATCTGTGGGAAAATAGGAGGAAACATTTAACCTGCTCAATTTACCCTGCACTGAATGTTCATTAATCAATATATTGGATTTACCTTTTATAAAATGGTTATGTATCAATGATATTTTTAAATTATTCGGTGACTCAGTGTGTGTGTGNGAGCTAAGACAACCAGAATCAAATGCATGTCATTAAAAATGCAAAAAAAATTAAAATAAAGTAAAACTACTTAATCGTAAATGCATGAAAATTTGATATAAAACTATAATAAAACAACTACAGAGATATGAGGAAAAATGCATTTTATAAATGTATACATATATAAAATTAATCTTTATTTATTTTTATTTTTCCAGCTAATGATGCACAAATATAGAACCCATTTAATCCCACCAGCAACAATYGTTTTACTTCTAAATGTGTTGTTTTGGCTTTGAGCAGCTAATTCAAGTTTTATAACAAAATAATAGGTTGTCTACTCTAAGCTACATCCATTTCACGCAGCTGGTGTGAATGGTCACATGAACAGACAGACCCCTTAACTTCCTGTCTGCACCTAAAATAGGTACAAGAGTAAGTGAGTAAAATACTTTAATAAACAGATAAAACTGAACTATTTTGTAAATATATTCTTTAAAGGGACTTCTATTGGTATATAATGAAATKTTTTTGCCTGTGTGCATCTTTTGACTGTTGTATCTTTTGACCTATGTCATAGGTGTCAAATATTTGGCTGCTTATTCTTGCTTTTTATTTATTTATTAATTTATTTTGCTTTGTTGTCATTGTTTTTTCCTCATAGTATAAAACTAGATGTTTTAAATCTAAACCTGAACGAACCTGAAGAGATTTGTGCCACATTTGGGGTTAAACTTTTCCATGCCGAGGCCCTCAAACAGCATTAGCTTCTGGCCAGGGACCCCCTTCGCAAGTAAGAATTTTTAAAAACAACTTTTAGGATGCTTTTTCTCACTTTTATTCATTTGATTAGCATAAGAATTGTATTAACATATTTTAAACACTAATATAGTCCTACTAAAAAAACTCATTTAAAAAAAACTTAAGAACAGAACAAATTAAATCAAACTTCTCTTAAACACCATTTAAATATATTTTTATGAATTATATTTAAAACATTCAAAATTATATATATATTATTTTTTTTCCACTTATCTTCCCTCCAGCCATCTAAGGCCCCCCAACACCCCTTGGCTGCAGGGGGCCACGGCTTTAATACTTTAATAAACGCCATGCCTTGTTATAATAAATTATGTATGCTATTAATTATATTTTTCATGTGTGTAAATAGGGCAGATTAAATGATTTGTGCAGTTTCCCTTCTGCAACATTTGCTGCCGAGTACAAAACCTACATTTCACAAAGTCAACATAAAATGAAACAAATCATAAACGTTATGTTTGTATGAAAGGTGTAAAGAATGAAATGCATGCACTTATTCTGCAGGGGAAATCTGAGATTAAATAGGTAAAGAACATATCGGAAGTAGAATTTACCAGAGAAATCTACATTATTTTAGCCAATAAAGCAATAGATAACACATTAAAGAATAATTTCAAAAAATTAAAAATAGAATAAAAAGAATCTAAAAATGTTTCAGAAATGCAGTAACAAATGTACTGTAGAATTTACAAAATGTGAGAACAAACTAACCAGATCAAACTAAATAAAAATGAGTACAAGTATGCTGTTTCACATTTTCTTAAATATACAATTAAAAATACCACAAAACAGACATTTTGGTCAGTAATTTGGAAAATCAGATTGCAAACAGTTGTATAATACAGACAGTCTAACTGAACAAATAGGAGCTCAATGTTAAAATGAAATGACTAACTCTAATAAACAAACACATGCACGCTTATTGACCTTTATTTAACCAAGAAAATACCTCTGAGATCACAGGTCTGTTTTATAAGGGAGATGTGAACCTTAAGGGAACCCAACATGCATGGTTTTGCCACATTAAGATGATTTTGAATTTATGTATTGATCAAAAAGCAATGCATTCTGGTATCGTTCCCAATAACTGATCTGTTGTACACTGAAGGAGCAGCTGCATCAAAGGCAACCAGTTCCTTCAGAACGTGCAGTGAAGTTATAAAAGAACTGATTTATAAAAGTTATGTTTGAGTACTCGTCTTGTATTTCCAGTTTCAAACTCTGAAACTTGTGATCAGTAAATTTGTTCAGACATTGCAGTACGCAACAAGTACGTGTGCAGCTGTGTAGAAAAACTGTCACCCCGATTGTTCTGCATCAGAAGTGYCAGGTGTCTTTAACTCACGTTCTCTATAAAAGAAGACGTTTGGGCTGCACCAATAAGAACTGCAGAAATATAAGAAGAGAAATGATTATTGAAAAACTGAAAGTTCTGCCACATCTGCTTTGATCAACTCTGGTCCTACAGTGGTACAAATAAAATCATCCCAGATGTTGAAAACTGGTGCATGTTTGGTTCACCTGTAATATGGATTTTTGTCTTCATAAAGTTTGTGGATAAGAAATTGAGAGCTATATTGATCCCCAGCAGGGGAAATTCATGTCACAGAAGCAACAATATTAAGACTTTAAAAAAAAGGAAAATTGTGTGTAYGCCATTAAAAAAGGCCCTTAGGTAGTCCAGATAATGCTCTAAAACAAACCAGATACCCAGATCACTCATTGGACCAGCTTCCAAGTCTGTACTWCAGCAGAACTCGGGAACTAAACAATTAAGAAGCTTCACAATTATGTTGCAGAATTCATACATTAAAAAAAAAAAATTACTAAGAGGCATTTGTCTTTTCTTGCACAAAACCTACAAAATATTAAACCATTCCCAACCTCTCTGYGTGAATTATTGACTCAAGTTTATTGTGTCAGTTAATCATTCATGTTTTCAATATGAGCTGCATTAAATTTTAATAATGAAGAGACTTCTAGCCTACTTGTTTAACATTAAAACAAACAAAAAAAAACATCGTGTGTGTGGACTGAAAAGCATTTTGAAATGGACTTGTTGCAGCTTTAATTCAGCCGGGCGCAGCGGCTGTAAATGGTGATTATCTGACCCAGTCGAGCTTGTGCAGGCAGCTGACTGACAGCCTAAACCTCCTCACCGTTTGTTAAGCTTTACTCTGAAGGAATGCAAACTTAACCATAAACACATGCTTTTATAGCATCTACGGGAATATACATAAACCACCTGCTTTCACATCTTCAGTCACTCTGAATTTCTTTACGTTTTAATAACAGTAATTAAAGTCCTGGAGGAAGTGACGTTCGAGTCACAAAAAGAGCACAGACATGATTCTGCAGTGATTAACACTTTATTGAACATAGCATTTCTTTGTGTTTACAGCTCTTTACAGTGAAAACTAAAACTCAAAGGGACTGATTTCCCACCACAGGTCACATGAAGTGCATTTCAAAGGCGAACAGCACAAAGGTTAATTTTATGTCGTTTTCTGGAGCGGATCACAAGCCTGAACAGGAATTTTAAAAAAAAAGGCATCTATAACTCTACTTCAACCGTTCCTACTTAGCAATGTACAGCAGAAAATGAGCCAAAGAGACCGGAGCAGAGCGAGGACGTGCTTTTAACAGGATCAAATGATTTACAGGTATGAGATTCCCATTAGAGTGTGCTAATTGTTTCCACACCATTAGCGACAGTTATCTAATGAAGGAGATTTAACCAGACGCTGTAGTTTATCACAGTTCCTCTCGGTTTGAGGAGAGGGAGAGGCAGTGGACCTCAGCCCATGTCCCTTTTACCACCCCCACACCCAAACCAAAAGCAGGAAGCATCACTGGGTCATTTAAAAAAGCACAAAAAAGCCTTTTTTACGCCTTATAAAAGGGTATAAACTTGTAAAAACACAAGTATTGATTTAAAGCTAAAAATGCATAAAAACGAGGCCTATATTTTTTTGTTTCTAAACAGGTTTAAAACGAATACATTTAAAACAATGTACTTGATTACAATGTAGCTAGATTTTTTTAAGCATAGATTATGTACATCCCAGAATGAGAATGGTTTTCAAGTTTAAACTGCGAAATGTTGACAGTCTTAATGCAGGGTTAAAAATCCTTTTTAAGCTGAAGGAGACCGACTGCACGCCTCCTCCAGCAACGCTCAAAACAACCCCCGAACTGGGACAATAAGTGCGTTACAAACGACTATATTTATTTGGGTGAGTTTAAACTGGTCAGGAGGAATGTCAGCACCAAGATCTGCAGCAGTGTCTCCTTCACTCTCTGCTTTCGTCTTCCATCTCCTTTTTCAAGCTGCAGAAAACAAATGCATTAGAACCCTGGAAGCACACTGGAAACGATAAATGTTTGAAATCTCCTCACTTTTTCAGGTAGGCGTGCACGTTATCGTAGCCGTGGTACTTGGCCAGGTAGACCAGCACTCCTGTGGCACAGCGGCCCTCTCGGGCCCGACAGAAGCTGCAGTTGCAGATCCCCCTGCAAGGTGGGCAGTGCCACTCCTGCAGGAAGTAGATTAGTTAGAATCCAGGCGTGCATTTAAAAAACAAAACAAAACAAAAACTACAAAGGCTAAAGAACTCACCGGATTCAGCAAAGCGTCTCGGACTTCTTCGCCGTATCGGTTGCGGAGACACGGGCCGCAAAACTGTCCCCTCACCCCCATGCACTCAGGGTTGCGGCAGTTTGTTTTGGTGTCGGTGGTCTTCTGTCGACACTGGTGACAAGTGGAGCCCTGAAACCGAAATGTAAAAAGCGTTTTAGTCACTCAGTCTAACAGCAGCTGCTCTCGGGGTGACGGGGAGAGCAGAACTCACCGTGGAGCTGTTGTAGACTTTCTCGCGAACGTTGTTGCAGATCCTCTGCAGCTCCCACTCTGTGATGTCCTCCACGGGTCGCACCACATGAGGGATGGCCTTGCTGCGAGCGAAGCAACGACGACGTGGCTGCGTAGGAAAAGACAGCGGTTACAACACGCAATGTTTACACGACAGATATTTACTGATTCTCTGATCCAACTTACGGGCTCATCGACTTCCTCGTAATAGCGGCTTTTGCGAACCAGGTTGAACTTATCCTCAGACTCTTCCTCAGGAGGCGGGCTGGGGGGTCCGTCCACCAGAGACCGAGAACGAGTGTGGGGCCGAGATACACGCCCTGGGTTTCTCCTGAGAGYTCTTGGTGTTCCTCCGGACCGCTTAGGTGTCGCTCTTGGCTGAAGGAGGAAACTATCAATGGATGCTCTGACAGAATTCTGTTTCTAAATTTACTGATGTCTTTTTTTTTACCGTGGTTGAAGCAGACATCGCCATCCGTCTTCCGGGGAAGAGCCCGGGCACYTTGTTCAACTCAGCCATGAGCTTTGCAAGCTAAAAATAACGAATCGATGCAACATGATTATCATGTACGGTTTAGTGTCAAGTAATCGCTGTGAAACAAAAAGCAGGAATAAAAATACCATTTCTTTATTTTCTTTAATATTCAGAGCTCTCTTGCTCATGAAGTTGTCCTCCTTGGAGTCAAAGTCCTGCACTTCAGGCTGAGGTTCAGACGCAGGTCTCTTCCTGTTCGTCTTCTTTGAGGGAAACGTCAATGCAACTTTCAGGGCATTGGGCCTGAGGCCACGTCTGGGTGTTTCAGTGTTTACTTTCTGAAAGATAAAAATGAATAGCTGAAGGAAACACGTATGTTTTAACGTAAATATGCTAAATTCTTCCAGGTATGTTTCTTACCATGTCTTTGATCTGACTGCTGATCTCACTCTCCTCAAACCCGCTGCACGAGTCCTCCTCTGACGTCGCTTCAAACACTTTTGGTTTTCTCACCGTCCTCCTCCCCTGACTCAAGGCGCTCTTCTGGAAACAGGCACGTGCGTCAGATGCAACAACCGTGCTCAGGAGGAGCGCAACAGTGGACACAACTCAGCATTTCACCGTTACCGTATTAGCGAAGCCTCCATCAGAGCCGAAGCTGTCACAGCTGTCATCAGAAGAGGATGAGGAGAAWGAGCTCTCCAAGGGAACCAGACGGACGCTGCAAAAGCTCCTCAAACTTGTCCTGATAGATGGAGGCTGGGCCGCCAGYTTCTGTAAGGGACAAAATAACCAAGAGCTGCTCATAAAACACTTTTTTTCACATRAACTATGAGAGATGGGTGAGCTTAAGAATAATGATGTAACAGATATTAGTGCTCTCTCCTTTAAGCTATCTTAATTATCATGCACAAAACATTACAGCAAGACAAATCAAAAAGCATATAGTTAAAACTTCAAATAAACTAATATTAAAAATCTTTAATTATATTTTTTAACTTTTATATTTGAAATGAATCTAATCTATTAAACCTCTTCATGTATTTGCTTATGTAGAGATTATTAATGATAACATTAATAATAATAATCATTATTTCATATCCTGCAGGACACACCCCTATGCACACAGCTCACACAGAACTATAAGTTATTATTTGTAACTTAAAAACAAATCACCCTCCTAATATKTAGTGATCAAGAAAAATAAACTTGCACCACGTTTTTCTAACGCCTTCTACGTGCAGGCCTGTGCTTATGATGTGCAAATGTTAGTCCTGCTTATAGAACCAAAAGTAATGATATGTGCGCGTGGGATGAAGTTTATAAATARCACAGATGTAAACAAGTTGTTTACTGAAACTTCGGGGTGATTTTCTTACCTTGGAGCGGGTGAAAGGCATGTTTCCAACAACACCAGTCCAACGCAGACACACAGGAACTGAACACACCGCAGCTCCGCAGCAAACAAAGCAGGACCTGCAGCTACAAGCCACCAGATACGTTCATTTCCCGCGCCACACAGAGGTCCTGACAGCACTATAACAAAGAACTAAAAGTTTATTAAAGCGTGGGGTGTCAAGAAAACAAACACGACTCGTAATGAAAGGGACAACCGAGTTTACTTTCGTGGTTTAGTCACGCTTTCATCCAAWCATACAAAGGTTTAAGTTGCCGGATGGTTGTTATGTACCTTCCACGAACTGCGTGGTGGCGCGAATATTTCATTGGTTCATTTGCATGCAGCGCGGGTAAAAAGTTGACGCCTTTCCAACTCAAATGTATTTCATAAGACCACAGATTAGAACCCTTATTAAAATGAATAGATATTTAAGATTGATTTAAAGATATTAAAGGTTGCAT